CTCATCACCCCTTATTTATAGAGTTTTGAGAGCTATAGGCAATACTAAACAAAAAAAAAATATGGGCTACACATAGACACCTATATTAATGCTACACACTAATCTAGGACACATGGCACCTCCTTATAGGCCCCAAAAAGGTAAGTCAACGATCCGATGAGCTATCTTCCATTGGGTGAGCTTAAGATTAGGCGAGTGATGTAGAGCGAGTCCTGTGAGGACATGGAATTTAGTCGGAGATTCTCCTTGTGATAATAGTGAAAGACATAACAGGCTCGGTGTCTCCCTATTGATGAAACCAAGTTGACGTGTAGGCGAAAACGATGAGTTCCTGAGCCTATCATAAGTTGCAGTTGAATGAGTCAATGATCACTATGGTAGGCACTTTCTTGTGAATAAGTTTGACAGGCTCGGCGGGCTTGAGGGTAAGAGCTTGACTAAGATGAGTGATGATCCACTCGTTTGGTAAGCAACCATCTAGTTACCCAGTGTAGGGTGAGCTCCTAAGTGGATGCGAGCGAGTAACAAACTCTCCTAGGGCGAGTTTATCTGGTAGTCGTGCGAAGTCCTAAAAAGCATATGCTCCTAAAGAGTATCCATGCCACAACCTTGTTGCTAGCTTTGAAGGCATAGGAGAAGGCAATTAGGGTTGTGCAAAACCTAAACCTTAAAAAAATGAATAAAATCAATTTAAATAAAAAGAAAAAAAAAGTTAAAATAATAAAAAAATTTAAAAATGAAGAGAGAACTTAAAAATAAATTTTAAAATGAAGATAAATTAAAAAATGAAATTATGAATACTTAAAGGATAAAATAAGAAAAAAAAAATCAATCCAAAAGTTAGACATTTAAAGAAAGCGAGAAAAAAAATCACATAGCCACTAGTGGCCAATCACTCCCTCAAACGTGATGCAGACACATGTTCACTCCCTAATGGCAAATGCATTCTAGCACTATATTTTGTAGGTGCTCGCTCTCCTTTTGAATCGCAACCCCTTAATTTCAAACTAATCTAGATTTTAAAAATAAAAACATAAACTCTCACACAAAACATAAAAGGACTTTTTTTAACAAATATTAATTTGAGGCATTTGCCTCATACACCTGACCAAGCATATACCCTCAAGTAATGTGCTTAAATGAGTTACTCATACCAACAAATCATAATTCTCAATGGTCGTATTGAGAGCACTTAGTGAAATGCACCCTGAGATAGGCACTTCATATGACCTTTTAAACAATGCATAAAATCAAATTGATTCTTTAAAACCTACATGATTTTTGAAAGCATAAGCTCCACTATCATCTCCCACAATTTTATTGTATATCTCATAAGTTTGAGCCTTCTATAATAAGAACAATCTTAATTCCAACATATCTCCTTTATTTTTTTGAGCCAAAATGCTTATTCTCTAATCATGGCATCACTTAAATTTTAGGGTTTTTATTAAAAAAATAACTAATTAAATTGCTCTCAAAACTGTGATGATTTGATAAATTTCAATAAGCACTCCAATGGAACAAATCCATTTATCTTCTTTTAAAAAGATTTACAAAAGCCCCCATAGAGCAAAATCTATGAATTAAACCAACAATTTTAGACATATCACAATGTTATAGATTGCACAAGAAATTATACTCCTATTGATAAATGATACGAAGTATGATCCAGACACCCCACATAATATTGAAGTTTGGTTTATTACTAACATCAAATTGGTTAGTCAAATTGCATGAACAAACCTAAGCCAACGTTAGACACTGTTAGATTCAAGTTAATCTCAAAATTTTGATTGAAATCAAGGAGTATAAAAAGGTTATGGTTTGGGAGAGAAGACCCAAAGAAAGAGCTTCAAGAGACTGACATCAAGGCATCTACAAGAAGTTAGATAAGCCAGCCAAAAGCCTAGTTATATTCATCACTTTCAAAAAGCTTAGTGCATATGCTCCTCTCTCTTGTTTTTTCCTACATGATATCCATCATTATAATCTCTTTTGATTAACAAAATCATGGCAATAAGGATAACCTAACTCTAGGATTTCCTATTAGATGGTACTATTAAATCAATTCCCAAGAATCCAATATCGACTTGCAAGCTCCCACACTTGAAATTGTAGTCAAAGTTATTAATTGGCAACAGCACACACTACAACTGATAACATAAAAATGCACACCTCTTACGCTATTGGCATAAAAAGGCATATTGTGCACTATTTATATAAGTATTATAGCACATATTATTGGTTGGATTTCTTAACTGATACTTGTAATTGTTTTGATTGGAATGCTAGCTTGAGAACTTGCGATGCGTGCAAAAAAATCTACAAAAAAATCTACAACAATCAAGATAAATCTAAAGGGGGAAAAAGGAATCTTCATCTAGACCTGTTGTGCTTGCATATGACATGAAAATGATGTGTGTGGTGAAGAAGATTATGATTTGGGAGAAAATAATTATAAGTCAAAACTATTTTGATGTATAATAATTGTGATAATTCTCAAAATGACAAGTTTAGGTTTGATGAAAATTAGACTTGTATTTGTTTTGTTTGTTTCTCTGTGATGTGGATGCTCTTTCCTCCCTTGAAGCTTTCTTTTGTGTATTTGATATTGGTTAAGTGGATAACCTCAACTGTCAATGTATTGTATATTAAGTGGCATAATGTTTAGTTACTCGCAAAACATTTCTTTAGTACTTTCTCAAGCAACAATCGGTCAAAATTCCACATTTGTTCATTTATGTTTCATTTTAAGGTTTCAGATTTAATCCCTTTAAGATTTTACTACTTAAATTGCTTATTATTGATAATGTTCTTGGCCACTTAAGTATCTCATTATGACAAACTGTTTCATGAAGTAACAATGGTAGGGAGGTTATTGAGCATTTGAATACCTTATAATATTTTCCATGTTTTAAGATTTACGATGCCCATTATATTTTTTTATGTTCCCATTAATCACCATGGGCCATTTATTCAACTGAAATGTAAGCATAAAAAAGAAAATCCCCTGGCACTTCATGTTTTCTTAGTCATGGAAAACACCAATCTATCATGAGAGAATGGTTAAAAAAATCAAATAACGACAATCCAGTAACTATCAGAGCACCCACATAGCTCAACCAAAGTTACATGCATGGCAATTTTTGTTGTCGGGGAAAATCATTTGAATTAAAATTTATCTTCTAAAACAAAGACAACAATAAACACCGCAAACATTCAATTTTCTAAGGAGTTGTTTGGTTGGGTAATTTTAAAATGTATATCATTTAGAAATACGGAATAATCTAAATGCATATATTTTAGAAATACATTAGTTATTTGATAGATAAAAATCACATGCATTGATTTTTAATTTTTTTGTTATAATGCATTTTAAGAGGATGTACCCTGGTGTATGCTTTATTGTTGATAAGATTAGAGGAGTTGAAGAAAAACTTAAATTATGGAGGTCAACCATACAGTTTAAAGGTTTTCATTTAAGTAGAACCAAAATTGAATACAGTGTACTTTTAGTAGTAATAGATCTAATGGCGGAATTGTGACTTTGGGTAATCAAATCATTAAAAAGAGTGCACGTTTTAGATATCTTGGGTCTATTATTCAATGTGACTACGAAATAGATATGGATATAATTAGTAAATTTCAAGTTGGATGTTTGAAGTGGAGGAATGCATCAAGTATGTTGTGTGATAGAAAAGTAACCCTCAAACTTAAAGGAAAATTCTATAATATGGTGGTGAGACCTGCAAGGCTTTATGGCATAGAATATTGACCATTAAAAGAGAAGCATAAAATTAAGATAGGTGTTGCAGAGATGAAAATGCTCAGGTGGATGAGTGGATTTACTCTTAGAGACAGAATACGAATAGAGTGTATACGTGAAAGGTTGGAGTAGCTCTAGTCCTTATATGGCTTGGTCACATAAAACATCGGCCATATGATAACCCAATTAGGACAGTAGATGTATTCAATTTGGCCTATGTTAAGAAAGGTAAGAGGTAGACCTAAAAAGACTTAATTAGAAAGTATTAGAAATGACCTTTTTTATTAAATTTAAAAGAGAATATGACTCTTAACAAGACACAATGGAGAAAAAAGTTGCATATAGTCAACCCCACGTAGTGAGATAAAAGCTTGATGTTGTTATTGTTATTGTTGTATTTCAATACGACAGACAACGGACATCAATTGTTGGAAACAGCATGTAGTACCTATTGATTATGAGTAGCCAGCAGCAATTGGTGACATGTAGCGATGGCTGGTTATGCTAGACGAGCGGTAGCCGATGATGACAGACACGTAATGATCGAGAGTGACGACAGTCAACGACGGTGGTCGGTGGCAAGTGAGCAAGCAACGACTGTGATTGGTGGCAAGTGAGCAAGCAACGATGGAAGCCAGGCAGCGTAGGCTACCATGACAGACAGTGAACTAGTGATGGCTAAGACAAGCGACAACAAGGGCAAAGACCAAATAGGAGTGGGAAAGTTGAGGTTGCAGTGTGAGTTTTTTGTGCATTTAGAATTTTGCCCAATTCTGACAAATTTCAAATTCATCAAAAATAAATATTTTCGTATATTTCAAATGCACTACATAAATATTTTGTATTTGATTTACTTTAAAGAATACACCAATAAAATTTAAAATCATGCATTTCTTTTATTTTATACTCCTAATACTTACAACCAAATAACCCCTTAAAACATTCCAAGAGTAGCAAACAATATTGTGGCAAGAATATAATCAACATTGATGAAGCACACTCGGAGATGAATAGTTCTATCTCATGGCATCAATGAAAATAAAATTGACAAAATCATGCTTTTCAAGATAATGATTTCTTCAATAAATAGAAGTTCAAGCGTGTGAAGACTAAACAAATAAAATATGTAAACTCACAGGAAACACATTACGGTAATGAACTACATTAAAATAAAGAGAGAAACTACGAAATAAAATCTTATTAAATATACTTCGTAAGGTAACTGATCAAACACCTTTGCCAATAGCTGGGTCTGGATTAGACTAATGCAACGTTGATATACAGGTTCAGCAAACTGAGTAAAACCCGGTCCTAGAGCCTTTAAAATAAAAGAGTAAGAATTAAATAAGCCATAAGAATAGGAATTCATCAAAAACTGATTGAGCAGACAGTATTTAAGAGAAAAGCGTATTCAATGAAGTAATGTTTTCATAAAATAACTAGGCCATACCCTAACATGCTAAGCACCCCAAAGCTAAAAATATATCTCAACACCATACCCAAACCTTCGCCACCAACAGTACAAAACCCTCAACCTCTCCCAACACTCACACAAATCACCCCCCTTAATATATTTATTAGCACAAATTTTTAGTTTTTCTTTTAACTATGTCAAATAACAAAAGCAATGCGTTAAAAGACCAGAACTGCCGAATAAACAAAAAGTTCTAAAGAAAAAAGATACCTGTGCAATGGAAGTAAAGCACTCAAGTAATGGAAAGAGATCTTTGTCTGAATTTGATAGTTGTCGCCACTTTGCAATTAATGGTGGCATCAGGATATCAAGATATTTTGGCTGTAAATAAATAAACACAAATTAATAGCCATTTTATGACTGCAAGCCCCTGTGCAAAGATAGTTCTTTTAACTAAAAAAGAAAGGACAGCAATCAGTAAAATGAAAATGGCCGATATACCTGATTTAGCTCTCCTCCAACAGCATCGGCTAGAGTACCAATAGCATCATACACAATTCGCAGATTACGCCTCTTTTTTAGGAGAAAAGTTGGACATGAAAATGTCAGAGGAAAAGATGAACATCAGATAAGACATTCTCACAATCAACATGATGGAAGTAACTAATATTTTTATCTATGAAGCATGGACACATTAGGCTCACGGGGACACAATATGATATGGCATTTGGCAAGTTCTAGTAAAAGTAGAATATGAATTACAGTACAAAATGTTGATATGCACACATGTACACATGCACACGAAACCTACCCACACATCTATACATACATAAATTATGTAAATTACACAATGAAAGATGCATTTATGTTTGACATGCAAACACAACCAAAAACATATCATACATTCATACCCAAAAAAAAAATCTTTTACATCCAAATGTGTCAACAAATTGTCAAAAGAATTTATAATGCAATAAATAGTAAAATCCGTAAACTAAATTACTACTTTGGTAACAGTTAAAGCATACTATTATTGTTTAGAGATTCTACGTAAAACATCCGTATCCAACCCAAGTGCTCAAATACCGTTACTGTTTAACTGAAAACCATCCAGAGCATATGAATATCCTAAAGTACTGTGCCGGGCAATAACATCCCCTTACAGGCATCTATCCTAATATTTCTAAATGGTTTGACAAAAACCTGATATTTCCCAAACGCACATAACAGGTGCTGTAAAATGACCTCCAAACGTGGTGCCAGTTCTTCGGCAGCCTCCTATTAATATAAAACACAAGTTCAGATGGCAGCTTTAAAAAAAAAATTAGAAACACAATAAAGTGACCTCTTCTAGAGTTGCAAAAGCTGAACATGCAGCCTCCTGCACTCGCTTATTAGAATCCAATATTCTACGAAGGAGACCCATGAGAACTTCATCGAATTGTTCATGTCCTTTCTGTTGTTGAACAATGCCCTGCATAAACAAAAGAATGTTAATAATAAAATATTTATAATCCTTCGAGTTCAAAAACTTTAAACTTTTTAATGCAATTGTCAAAGAATTTTTTATCCAGAAAAAAATCTAAAGAAGATGCAATAAATTTAGCCCCAAGTGATCACATTTAAACAAAAGGAAATACATAGAATAGACGGGATACTGAATAACTGTGAGCTTTTAAAATATAAAAGCAGAAAATCCAACAGCCAGTCATGATATAGATGCTAAATGATAAAACAATCAGAAAACAATAATCAAAGGTGCAATGTTTTAAGTGCCAAGTTGTTTCACCATCGTGCTGAACACCATGGTCATAAGACCCAGATTAGCATTTAAAGCTGTACCAAAAAACAAAACACCTTTTTTTTTTTCCTTAAGGCTCCAGGCAGTGGCAGTGTCAATGAAACAAACCAAATCAAAATGAGTATATGAAACCCAAAATGATACAGCGGTAAGACAATAGAGCAATTCTTGAACGAAGCAGCAGAATACAGATGGAATGCAGCAAGGCAAATATTATTATAAATCTAATCGTCATCTTAAAAAAAAATTCAGAAAGCAAATTGCAATGAGTGATAGTTAAGCATGCTAGGGAAGTGAGATGATAATGTTGCTAATCTGAAGCAATTTACTGCAGATTATATCATAACTGATGGATCTCAAATCTAGAAATGCTGATGAGATCACTTCTGGCCAGGATATGCTGAGAACGGAGGAACCAACAGATAGATCGAAAGTAAGGGAGAAGGCAGATGTAGGAAACTAACAAGTGAATTATAATGTTGGAAGCAAAAGCAAATAAATGAAGGGAACGAATAAATAGGACTTACATATTAAAAAATGGCTAAATATACCATCTCCCAACCCCACGCAAAGCTCAGAACTGATGACAGAACCACTTCACGAGTCCAATATAAATATGGGATTTAAGCTTTTACTTGGGGGGATGGGCACAGATGTTTGCAGGAATATACCCGTGCCCGTTTCAAATGAGCCCACATCACACCATTCAAATGCATACACAAGGCCATCCACAGGCCTTCACAATATCTGGCATTTGGACTAGCACTAGACCAATGCAAATAGTTGCAGTTATAGTTCTTTTCCATTTTCATTCACTATGATTCTCACTTATCATGCAAATAGTTGCAGTTATAAGTCTAATGAATTTCTTGGGGTTGATCTAATTCATAGTGAATGAAAATGGAAAAGAACTATAAGATTTCTAAAATTAATTGAGAATCACTCGAGCAATAAATTAAGAAACTTGTTGATAGTCCAATTATATGAATCCATTCACAAACAAAAGATGCATTAACCTAAAATTTATTTTTTTGCGAAAATGGATAGGTAGAAATATCATTTACATCCGAAGTACTATGATTATTTAACAGCGGAAAATAGGTTATAGTTGTTAAAACAAATAAGTGCAAATACTATTACCTGAACAATAAATTTGCTAAAACGAGAAATTGTCCAACAGGTGATACTCCGTATTAGAGGAAACTTGTCATCCAGTAGTGGTAAAAGGAATGTAACAATCTGTCAATCATAATATAAATGAAACAATTATTGAAAAATAAGGTTACATGCTCCAAAAAATTGCAACATACAAAAAATGGCTTTTTGGATCTATTCAGAATTAATTTAACAGGACAATAGCAACGATAAAGAATTAGCTATTAGGCCGCATTAGGAGAGGGAACAGAAGAAATCACTTCAGCTAACAAATTTACTATTGAGATTACAATTTACATAAAGTATTTCAACCAAAAAAATTGAATTTAAATGCTTAATTCACCACATACAGAGTGAAATTAAAACCATGACCAGCACAAAACCAAGATACCAAGAGCTCACTTTCTATCATCTCTTATAACTGGACTTCATGCGGGTGATAATGTGCCCTTCACGGGGGGCATGGCTGTTTTATGATGACGGTATGGTTTCATTTTCCTAACTATACCTTTGGATCCAAAAATAATAAAATAAATTATTTCATTTTGTAAACCGCCAAACATAACCACAACTTTATCCTGAACCACCATCACATTTATTTTTTTCACCCACCTAAATAAAGATTTTGGTTCTTATCTCTAAGTTCTAAACTAAATTATACATAGACCATCAAGTAGGAGAAAATTCTACATCCAAACAATAACCAAAGTACAAGCAGTTGAGCTACAATTGTCAGTGGCGATGAGAGCACAACAAAGAAGGCAGAAGGTTAGCATGACATATTGAATCCTACTTTAAACCTACTTAACCACATTTTATTCTTTTGCTTTGAAATTAGGCAGCATTAGCAAAATGCCAAAAGGGATTATGTGCCGTCATGAACAATCCATGGCTAACAAAACTAGGTACAAATGGTATTGCCTGTTTTATCAACAAGAAGACGCTATGCTGCAAGTAAATTATCAGCTTAGGCCTACCATAACTCCAAGAAGAACATTTACAAAAGTTCCAATAAACTGAATAAAACAAGTAAGAAACAAACGTCACAAATACAAAAATGGAAATGCAAAGCTTCCATTGACAAGAATGAATGAAGAAGAACTAATAAGCTGAACATAAATAGTTACAAGGAGGTTTTGGCAATGCTGTTAAAATGCACACTTCACAAGAAACATAATGTCAAGGATGTAGCTATTACAGAATAAACGAGCACTCTTGATGTAAAACAAACGTGTGAAGATGAGTTGCTTAAAGAATTTTGCACGCTTAATATTTCAAGAACAATGTTAAATAAAACTTATGTCGATTTAAACGCTAAGATAAAAAAAATAAGGCGATAAAACTAGCTTAGGCTAAATCATATGCGTAGGAGTTAAGGTAGTAAAACAATCAATTAATCTAACATTGCGTTCGTGGTTGATTTTCAACGATAATCCCTAAACTAACAATGAGATTAGTTACCATGAAGTCATCCCCTTAATCACTCTCTTAATCATGAGGGTCTAGCGGAGGAAGTTAACACAATTCTTTATGACTCAATAATTCCACAATCGAAGTAGAGTTAGGCGATATAAGAGTGGGAAGAGAGCTCACCTCAATGACAAGGAACCACCTTGCGATTCTTGGACAGCAATTACACGTTCCAGGTTGCCTGAACAGCAGGTTTCAGGTGTTCGGAGCTCTAAACAGCAACCATGGAAGGTCTAGACAATGACGGGATGAATTCAGGAATGGCCTGCATGCATGGGAGCGCAGAAATCTGTTTGGCAACAGTGTAGCTGACTCCTAGTAAGCTCGGACAGCAGCTATGCATTAATGAAGGCTGTAGACAGCCTCTAGCAGTTTTAGGGCCAGCTGGAATTTGAATGCCTAATTATGAAGGAGCTTTGGAGGGAAAGATATTTAAAATTTGAAATTTAAATGTAAATAGGGAAGTGCATTTAATCCTCCTTAATTGGGGCTTAAATGTTGATTGATTGAGGCAAGAATTAAGGAAAATTAATGGGGGAGTGGGCTGGCCATGAGAGAGAGGAGAATTTATTTCAAAACCTGAAATTAATTTCAGGATTTGAGGGGATTTGGGGGAAGAATTAATTTGAAATTGATCTCAAATTAATGTGAAATGAATGCATAGATTGGAGGTTTAAAGAGGGGGGGAAACCAAGCTTGGCCGGCGGCATGGAGAGAGAAAAAGGGGGTTTGGGGGGAAGTCAAGCTCTTCCAATCGAGATACACCAACGAGGCGGAAAAATAATGACTCCACATTTGAAATTTCAAACAGATTTGCAAGGAGAAACTTTCCTTATTTGGATTTCACAATTAAGGAAAGTTTTGAAATTTTGAAATATGAATTTCAAAACTCACAAATTTCTCCCTTAATGTTAGCACCCAAAATTAAGAGTCATTAAGATGTTGCAAACTTCATAATGGTTTGTTGCATGAGGGGTGGCCGGCGGTCAAGGGGAAGGGAAGGACAAGGGGAAGGGAAGGGCTTGCCGGCGGGTGATATTGGCTTGGGTAGTGGTGGAGTTGGATGGGGTGGGGTTAGGCTTGGAAGAGATCCGACGGATAGGTGGATTAAAGAAAAGAAAAGAAAAGAACCGGCTAGAACAAAGAAAAGAAAATACCACGAGCCGTGGACTCTTCCAACGACTGGTGGGCCTTGCACTTGCTCACCTCGAGCTCTCTCTCTTCTCTCTAGTGCCCTCACAAGAAGAAGAAGAAAAACATATAAAATTTCATTATCTAATCATCATCCCTCAATACAAGAAAGCTAGCCTATAAATAGGCTTCATGAAAAGAAAAATAGCAAAGACTAAAATGCCCTTCGGACTACAACACCACTTGATCACTCCTAAGGGTAAAATGGGAAAAACATTAATAACTAATACATAAGACAAAAAAAATAAAATAAACTCTAGATCACAGCCGTTGATCTTCTGATGTCCTCGTCAACTCTAAAGTTCAAACTACTGAAGTGCACATTTCAGTCATAAAATTGTTTTCCATGAGTTGCTACATTCGGTTTTGTAGTATTTTTTTTAATTTCCTTTTCATAGATTTCACAGTTGTCATCCTATGATCTTAGTGTTAGTCCATTAATCATTTTAATTAACTTTTTTGTTTAAGTCAACCAAACATTTTTCCATGAAAATTGTTGATTTGAAACTTATTCATGCACTTTCGATCATACGGCTTTCTAAGAAATGGCGTTATTCACTGCTAAGTTTATTTTTTCAGTACCTTTTAAATTAGTTCATGATGCAGATAATTACATGTCACAATACATATGTTACTTATCTAATTGGCTTAAAGATGCAGCTTGATATTACTTTTACTTAATTTGAGTTGAATTTGGTTAGTTCCTGTTGCAAGTATATTAGTAAATGAAAGATGCTAAACAGGATCAACTTTTGGCCGGAAGGCATATAATTCAATTTTTCCCTTTTACTACAGCTAACTAAGTAAAATTAAACTTCTAAAGAAAATTCGCACATTTTAACCAACTTTTCAGCCAGAAATTTCGATCTATAAGGCATTTAGCACGTACGAAGTCACAAGAGGATGTGCTTCAGTTAACAAAAGTCCCACTTTTTTCATTTTGCTTTTTGCTTCGCACATGGTAGTGGTAGCAGAAGAAGTTCCTTGATTACATTTTGACAATAGTTGTTGTTGTTAATGTTTTTATTGATTATGATAACAAGATTTTTCATGATACTTGGGATATATTTGCTTGATACTTGAATACCTAATCACTTGCACCAATCAAAATGTGTGGATAAGTACCTCAGGTAGAAGGGGGTAGAGTCCGTTAAAACACCCCTCTGCAATAGCACCAATGGCCAAAACAGCAGCCTCCCTCTCCTTCCACTCCAAGTCATTAGAGGTTGAAAGCCTTTGCTGAAAAGGTTGTATGCGGAAAAAAATAACATAAGAAATATACAGCAAGAGCTTGCACCCTCAGTCATGAAATTATAAACCAAATACAATATCAAAACAACAGAATATTTATCATGCATGAAGAATGAGAAGAGAAACACAATGAAAATATATATTTTTTACCTTGGAAGAACGTCAATTGCTTATTTTATAGGCATTTAACTTTTAATATTATTCACTGATGGATGTTGTAAGTGAAGAGAAGTAGAAATATAAAAAACAATTTTGAATTATAAATTATTTTTCTATAAATAAATTGGAGATATTAATAGAATCCATCAATGATATTACACAAGGAAAAAAAATGAACTTTAAACAAAATTTAAAAAAAAAAATCCAAAAATAGAAGATCCACGACTACATGAAGGAAAGGAACACCTCAATTGCAATTCAATGTTCAGAAGAGAGAAGATCCAATGGCTAAGCTACTCAATCCTTCAATAGATCATACTACGATTTGCTGCATAGTAAGACCCATGACTCCTCTAGGACAGATGCATGAAGGAGGCAGTGCAGTGGTTCCACAATCTTCAACTCTTCCCCTCAAACTAAATGATGCAAATCTATCATTCCAAATCTGGATATAATTTTCTTGAATGCAGGGCTGCAGAGTCCTTTGATGAATATAGAGGGAAAACCAACCGACTTTCCTGTTTTTCTTTCATAAAATGTATATCTACCTCTATATGCTAGAAATGATCATCATATACTAAGTTATGAGCAATACCAATGACAAATTAATTATCACAACATTTCTTCATTGGCTCTTACTAGATTATTAAATCTTATCAACTGATTTTGATCCACAAAAATTCACAAATTCCTTGTGCAATTGCTTTAAACTCAAATTCAGTGCAATATCTTAAAATGACTGATTATTTCTTGCTCCTCCAAATTATAAGATTTTCTTCTAAGAATGTATAATTGTGAAAACCCGACAAATGCCGTTTTAGATCTCGCACGCTTTTCAAAGCGCCGCGACGAGTTTTAAGTGAAAAATTCAATGTTGTCGGATTTCGACGGGATTAATTTTATAAAATTCTACATTATGCATAACTTGTATTAATATAACCTTCAATTTGAAGAGTATTCAGCTTTCTATAGAGAATTCATTTTGCAAGACTTGATTTAAGGTATCAGAGATAAGTTGCATGAAGGTGAAATTCTTTAGGTTTGTGAATGAATTAATAATGAGACAAATTGTAAAAGCAATGTATGAATGATTATACTACAACAAGAACAATATCAAGCCTTTGTCCCACTATGTGGGGTCGGCTGCATGAATCCTTTTTCTCCATTGTGTCCTGTTAAAAGTCAAATTTTCCTTTAAATCTAAAAAGGAAAGATCATTTTTAATATTCTCTAACCAAGTCTTTTTAAGTCTACCTCTACCTTTCTTAACATAAGTTAAATCTACTACCTCTACTTTCCTAACCGGGTCATTGGAAGGCCGCCGTATTATGTGACCAAACCATCTAAGGCGACTCTCTCTAATCTTATCTTCCACTGGAGCTACGCCAACCTTTTCGCAAATATGCTTATTTCTTATCCTATCTCTAAGAGTAAAGCCAATCATCCACCTGAGCATCCTCATCTCTGCAACACTTAGTATTACACTTATCTTTTAATGGCCAACATTCGGCACTATAAAGCATTGCAGGTCTCACCACCATCTTATAGAATTTTCCCCTAAGTTTGAGGAGGACTTTTCTATCACACAACACGCCCGATGCATTCCTATACTTCAACCATCCAACTTGAATTTTGCTGATAATATCCCCATCTATTTCACCATCACTCTGAACAACAGACCCAAGATATCTAAAACGTGTACTCTTATTAATGACATGATCGCCTAAAGTCACAATCCCCACACTAGGCCTATTACTACTAAAATTATACTTCATATATTAAGTTTTAGAACTACTCAAGCGAAAACCTTTAGACTCTAAGGTTGACCTCCATAATTCAAGTTTACCTTCAACTCCCTCTCTAATCTTATCAACAAGAAGAATATCATCAGCAAAAAACATACACCAAGGTACATCCTCTTGCAAATGTCTAGCGAGAACATACATGATGCTATCAAGAATTTATGTACTTTTTATTTTATTTGAACAATAGTATATTTTGTTTTCTATTTTATTTTCTTTTCTTTTTTAGCTATCCAATGATGGGAATCCAATGATCATGGTAGGTAGTGCATATGGCTTGGTAGACCTTTGGTTTGCTGGCTCGATTGGTCCCTCCCTTCTAACCTCTTTGTCTCTCCGCAAGTGCCACTCCATCTGTATCCTTCTTCTCAACAGTGAAGCAACTTTAGGGTGTCGTGTCTTGGTTGATTTGGAAGCATTTGGGACAATCTTGCAGTGGTGGACCATCGGTTTGCTAGTTCTATGCACTTTACTTATTTAACCTACAAATTCGATGCATGTGAGGAACCCGCTCTGACGGTTGTCTGAGGATAGCGTCTTTTTAAATTTCTTTATTTCTTTAAAATCTCCTAGCATCTTTTGTTAAGTTTTGGGTCGTTTGCGTTTATTTAATAAAATTTATTTTAAGTTCTACTCATTGTGTCAATTTTTCTCTTGTGTGTCTATTGTGATCAAGAGATATAGGCTCCCTATATCTCTTGTCTACATCAATACATGACTAAAGCAAAAAGATATGGGCTTGAGGCTGATCCTTGATATAATCTAACCAAAATAGGAAAATACTTGGTCAAACCACCTTGTGTTTGAACACAAGTAATGGCTCCTACATACATATCTTTAATGATTTGAATATAAGCATTATTAGCTCTTTCTTTCAAGAATTATCCATAGCACTTCTCTTGGAACTTTGTATGAATCCAAATTGATTTTGAGAAACATTAGTATCACGCCGCAACCTACATTCCATAACTCGCTCCCATAATTTTAAAGTATGACACATTAACTTAATTTTTATATAATTCACCCAATCTTTTGCATCACCTTTATTCTTAAAAATAGTAATTAGCACACTCATTCTCCACTCATCTGGCATCTTTTTACTCTTTAAAATAGTATTAAAAAATTTAGTAAGCCAAGAAATTCCTTCATCTCCTAAGCATTTTCCACACCTCTACTGGAATAACATCAAGTCTTACAGTTTTTCCACACTTATTTTTTTTAAAGCCTCTCTAACATCGGTTTTACTAATATGCCGATAAAAACAGAAATATTTATTTTCATTTAGGATGCTAAAGTCATTAAAGTTAATCGTATTTTTAAATTCTTCATTAAAAAGTTTAGCAAAATATCTCATCCACCTTTGTTGAATATCATCTTCTAAGAAAAGTACTTCTTTATCTTCATCCTTAATACACTTCACTTGAACTAAATTCTTACTACACCTATCTCTTTGTTTGGCTAACTTATACATATATCTTTCTCCCTAAGTATTTTTCTCCCTCATTAGTATGTAATTTATTATATAAATTATTAAACGCTAAGATCTTTGCATCGCATGTTATTTTCATAGATATCTTACATGCATCTTTATATATTTACCAATTATCAGAATTTTTACATCTAAACCAATTTTATAAAAAATCTTCTTACTTTTATTTTTTCTTGTACATTTGGATTCCAACATCAACTATTTTTATTATTAGGAGCTTTTACCTTTCATACTCCAAACACATCTTTTGCAATATTTTTAATATCACTAGTCATTTTATACCACATAACATTAGCATCCTCATACACAGACAAAATCTTAAGATCTAAAATCTTACTTCTAAAATTATTATTGTTAATAATTTTTAAATGCCACATCTAATCCTAGAATATCATTTTACTTTATTTTTTGCATTTTATCTTAAAGTTTAAAACTAATAATCGATGGTGGATACATAAATTTTCACTCAAAATAACTTTACAATCTTTGCAATCTAAACGATCTAATTTTCTTATAAGAAAAAAATCAATCTGAGTTTTACTATATCCATTTTTATAAGTGATGAGATGCTCATCTCTTTTCTTAAATAAGGTATTAGCAATTAAAAAATCATAAGTTAAAGAAAAATCTAATATGGTTTTACCACCTTCCTTGGTCATTCAAAACTCATGGCTACCATGAATGCTAAAATCATCTAGCTCCTTGATCTCAAATTCTTCAACCATTTTTTCCTAAAGGACTCATTTTGTTTCAAGTAAAAATTATATCATAAACCTATATAACGAAACTTGATAACTTATTATCAATGAAGTGCTTATGGAAAATGGTATGATCCCTATAACTTTATTTGTATCTAGTGTTAATCATAGCTTTTTTAAATGTGTCAAATCATGCTCTTAAGGACAGTGTAAGTCCATAAAAAGCCTTCTTTAAATTGCACCTCTTATTTTTTATGAATGAGCTATCAAACTTTGGTGGAGGATACATATAGACTTCTCCTTCAATATCTCCATCTAAGAATGCATTCTTCACATCATATTATTGCATAGACCATCCAAGACTAGCCACTAGCAAAATCAATATGAAAATTGTATTCATTTTTGCACTAAGAGCAAAGATTTCTTGGGTCCATTGTTTAGAAAGGTTACATATTTTGGAGGTCTCATTTTGGGGCAAAGATTTCTTGGGTCCATCCAAGATAGTCAATTCCCATACGATTGAGCATACAGTTTAGATATCTTGGATCCATTGTTTAGAGTGATAGTGAAATAAATGGGGATATTATTAGTAGAATTCAAGTTAGATGATTGAAGTGGAGGAATGCAATAGGTGAGACGTGTAATACTTTATGGTGCAGAATGTTGGGCATTAAAAGAGAAGCATAATATTAAGTTAAGTGTTGCATAAATAAGGATGCTCAGGTAGATGTGTTGTTTTATCATTAGAGACAGGATACGAAATGAGCATATACGTGAAAAAGGTTGGAGTAGATCCAATGGAAGATAAGATTAGAGAGAGTAGAGTTAGATGACTTGGTCACATAAAACGGCAGCCTTCCGATGATCCGATTAGGTAAATAAATGCATTAAATTTGGCTTATGCTAAAAAAGGTAAAGGTAGACCTAAAAAGACTTAATTAGAAAATAATAGAAATAACCTTTCTTTATTAGATTTAAATGAGAATTTGACTCTTAATATAACACAACGGAGAAAAAGGATTCATGTACCCGGCCCCACGTATTGGGATAAATGCTTGATGTTGTTGTAGTGAAGGTCTTTCTTCCTTGCCAAGGATCTGAACTCTAATCTAATCAAAATCTGCAGTTAATTATGAAAGGAAGTCATACACTCTATCTTTCTCAATAAAATTTTTAAGGATAATAACTTCTTCTAGATACTTGGCCACTATGCATATGTAGTGATCAAGTTCTTGTCACAAGCTTTGAATGAGAGTGACATATTCCGTCACGATCTTGTTTCATTTTTTTGTGCTTTCAACCTTGACTTTAATTTCAAAAATTTGAGTAGTATCCCGAGCTTTTGAGAAGTTTTGTCTGGCAGCATCTCATATGTCCTTTGTAGTAGATGAAAACAAGAAAATATCACTAATTTATGGAGTCATGGAATTCCACAACCATGACATAATCATGGAGTCTGCTTCATCCCATGCCCAAAAAATTAGGATCTCCTTCTTTTGGTCCTACCCCAAGGGGTGGTTCTTTTTTTCTTTCCCTTTCAAATAGGTCTTCAAAAATTGAGACCACTTAAAGTAATTCTTCTCATTTAAGTGATAGAAAAGTTACATATTTTGGAGGTCTCCTCTTTCTTGGTGTATCATAGAGTCCTCCATTTAGTCAAAGCTTTGGGAGGAAATAGCTTTAGATATTGTGGTGGAAAAGGAGAGTGATGATATTAATCAAGCAATCAAGGTGCAAGACAGCAATGAAGGTGGCATTTGAACAGTAGCCCTAAAGATATCGATAATGGCAATAAAGGCCAGTGGCAGGACAAGGAGAAAGTTGATTAATTATCATTCAGGTTTATCTCCTTCTTGGCATGTTATTAGCGCATGCACACAGATACTTCATTTCCTATTGGATTGGCCCAAGGAGGCGAGGATGAAGCTTTTGGTAGCACGCAGAGAATGGAATGTTTGGCTAGATACTCAAGCTCAACTCTTCTACTCGATCAACTCTGGGTGTCGTATGCAGGAACAAAGGCAGAGCCTGATCCTTCTCTGGATGTCGCCATTACTAGGAGGTCCTAGTCGTCGTCCAAACACATGATCATGCTCAGTCCAGATGCACAATCTCTTGTCTCGTGAAATCAAACGCCACGCGAGAGGCCCTTGGTTGATTCCGCTCGGTTCGAACCAAGACGCAAACCAAAGGAGATCTCTTGATCGATCTCCCACTACCTCTAGCTAGACACACGCAAAAAGAAATATCAATATTTCTCAGAATTCTAACAATGAAGGCCGGTGATGGAAACCTTACTCAATGGAAGACCGACAATAAAGTAGGGGGTGTCAATTCGGGTCAACAGGTCGGGTTCGGGTCCAACCCGAGTTGACCCGAGCATATACGGGTTGACCTGAACCCGACCTGTTTAGCTAAACGGGTCAGGATTTTTAACCCGAACCCGACCCACGCCAGTTATCAGGTTGGCCCGACCCAAGCAGACCTAGTCGCCAGACACATAGCAACGTCGGGCCTAGCCAGCATGGACGCTGACGCTGGACGACTTGGCGAGGTCGTCTGGTCGAGGCAAAGCGGCCTGCGTGGTTGCATTAGGTCGAACCGACGAACCCTAGCGCGATCGAGGTCGAGCGAAGGAGCGATCTGCCAGTCTGGGACTGCGAGGTTGCGTCGTTGCGGCTTGGCTACTGATGAGGCGGAGCAACGGAGCGGCGGAGATGCGGAGTCATCATGACGCGATGGCAACTATACGAGTAACGCGACGGCCTGTGTCGCCTAACGGGCTTGACAGTGGCACAGCGCTGTTATGACGTGACAGATCAAACTTTCGGGTCAACTGAGTCAACCCACGGGTTGTCGGGTCAACCCGAACCCAACCCGTTTTTCAAACGGGTCAAAAATCTAAACTCGAACACGACCCGTTTCGCAAACGGGTTGACCCGAACCTGAATTTTTCCACGTCAAGTCCAGGTCGAGTTTCGGGTTGTGTCAAAAATTGACACCCCAACAATAAAGGCATGGCAGTAGAAAAAATTTAAAATTCTAGCGAAGTCAATGAAGGCTCTGATACCATGTTAAATTCATAGAATTGGAGAGGGAAAAAGCTTAATATTATAACACAAAACTATTCCTATTTATAGATCTATACAAGATATCTTAATAAAGAAATAAATAACTACCTAATCATGCATAATTGCCCTAATATAAATTTTCTTAAATCAAGCCACCCAAATATAGAAGGAGATCAGCGTGATCCATGTAAGCTTCCCACGGATCCCCATGCTGGTCGTGGGATCAAAGGCCAAGGGGCAGCTGCGATTTAACAAATATCATAACAATGAATATGCCAAAGCAGCATCTATTTGGCTTTGGAAAAACAAGCAATTGATTCTAAATAATTCTAAAAGAAATTAGCTGATATTAACATTTATGTTGTTCGAGTTTAGGAGGCAATACCTGAATCAAAGGCATTAGAATTGGAAGTAACTCATCACCAAATACATTTGAAAGAACGTCTAAACCAGCTGCACTGCATTTCCGCAGATTCCATACATTGACTATGTCATCATCCTGTAATAGTGTAACCAAGTAAACCATCAAAACAGGAACGGCGCCCCTCCATGATAATATAAAACAGAAAGGGATAAATTGATAATTGCAGTTTTCAGGGAGGGGGTCAGGGGACACATTGATAACCAGGAGCACAAAGAAATGACGCATTATAAACCAAGAAATAAGAAATGACTAGAGTATTTGAATATACAGGATCTTCCCCATTATCAGATCCATGGATTCTTGATGAATGAAAACGAGGCTTCAAATCCTGTATGACGAGTTACAAAAATTAAGAATGGAAAACTTGTAAAAACATGAAAAAAAAAAAAACACTTAAATGGACATCTACATTATAATAGACAATTTTCCAAAATTGGGGCTTCAAATAGAAAGCTACCTGATCTCTGTCAGGGATGGACTCATCATCCTGTAACAAATGTAGCAAATTCACACAATAATCAAATTCATATGAAATGTAAAAGACTTTACAAAAAAAACTTCAGAATACCTCAGCATCACCAAGTGACTCGTCGTCATCAGCATACACCATATTTGACAATAAAACCTAGAAAATAGAAGAATAAAAGCATGGCCACCACCAAATTTGAGGCAAATGAAAAATATATATATATAAGGAAAACATATAGAATACTGGAATCAAGCGTGGCAAGAATTCTCGTAAGCCTTCTGGAGGCAAATTAGCATCGCAGTACGCTGACCTGAGTTAGAACACAATGAATATAAGGCAATTAGCATATAATACGTTAAAAAGTATTTTAGAGCAAATGAAAACAATCAGTGTTTAAAAGATTAAAGAAATATTGGCAAAAACAAAAAACACTAGAGAGCAGTGCAGCAATCAACAAAAAGCATTTCATAATTTCTATATTCAGCAGCAAATATTACCATCACATGCTTTGAATGTTACTCAAGCTCCCAAGTTGTTACTCGCACATAATTCAGCAAACCCTCCAAAAAACCAACAACCAAACACTAATTTAAATCACCTTTTAGACATGTAATAAGCAGCTAGGAAACTTCAAGGAAAGCACACCAGGGGAAAGACTAAGCCCAATGAATGTCAATACTTCGTCAACAACAAAAAATAATATCAAGCCTGTATCTCCCTACATGGGGTCGGCTACATGAATCCTTTTTCTCCATTTTGTTATGTTAAGAGTCAATTTCTTATTTAAAACTAATAAAGAAATGTCATTTCTAATATGTTCTAACAAATTCTTTTTAGGCCTACCTCTACCTTTTTTAACATAAACCAAATCTAATACATCTACTCTCCTAACTGTGTCATCGAAAGGCCGGCATTTTATGTGACCAAAGCATCTAAGGCGACTCTCTCTAATCTTATCTTCCAAAGGAGCTACTCCAACCTTTCATGTATATGCTCGTTTTGTATCTTATCTCTAAGTGTAAAGTCACTCATCCACCTAAGCATCCTCATCTATGCAACACTTGATTTAATATTATGCTTCTCTTTTAAGTGCCAACATTTTGCACCATAAAGCATTGTAGGTCTCAAAACTATCTTATAGAATTTTCCTTTTAAGTTTGAGGGGGACTATTCTATCACGCAACAAGCTCGTTGCATTCCTCCGTTTCAACCATCCAACCTAAATCCTACCAATAATATCCCCATCAATTTCACCTGAGCATTAGACCCAAAATATCTAAAATGTGTACTTTTATTAATGACTTGATTGCCAAAACTTCATCAACAATAATTAAAATTTCAATGATAAGCAAAGTCATCCAACTATTTAGCATCAGCCTTAACAGTAAATCTCCATCACTCATTACAGAGATCGCAGCAAGGAACCTGATGGCAACATGTTTAAAGGAGGTTTTCTCCATTTGCTTATTATTTGAGGAAAAACACCATGACAACTTTCGATCACAAGCCAACCTGGGGGTGCGGCTTAGTGATAACCTCCCATGTTTCAATCTCAAGACAAACATTCACAAGCAGACAGACTGGGAGAAAGAGAAAGAGTATGACAATAACCTACTTGAAAAGCATATAACTCAAGTGGTTGTTCTCAAACAAAAAAATTCGGGAAGGATTGATACAATAGTGCTACATTACAAAGGACTTGGGGACTATAAAATACAAGGAAAATCGATTGCCTTTTAAAAATGGCAAGCCAGTGATTCTTCTATTGACTAATCAGCATACTGGTAGACCAAAAAAAATTTAGAAGAAAGTCGACAGTATTCAGTCACAACCAAGCAAATGAATTCCTTTTCACAAAATCATATTTAAATCAAGAACACGAAACTAGCTAATGACAAGTTATATAAAAGAATGAAATTATCAAAGCGAAGAAAAATTAGGCATCCTTATCACAGAACTTCAGACCACTAACTATATACTCCTACTCCTACTTCTCTTGCTGCTAATAATCAAAATTAAATCAAGAAGAAAATTACCTCAACCAAATAAATTAACTTAAAGCTACAAAAAAAGTATAACATTTCTTAACCATCATAACTATCATGTCACCAAAACAGAAATAGTAAATAAAATGACCAAATTGATTAAAAGAAAATGCATAGGCTACACAGAATATTAATGTTTGATGTGATACTCCCGCAGGGAATAAATGCAAAAAATTATATCAAATATACGCTACTTGAATAAATTTGGCTTGGACTAAATTATCATTTGATATTCATCAAGAAAATATGAACATAAGCATTGAGCCACAGATAGAGTAAACTATGGATCATCATAATGAGGTCAATCTCATTAGTAAATTAGGTAGCTCTAAAATATATCAACAACATTGGATACAATCTCATTATAAAAATAGCTTCAATAAGATGCATAGAGGAATTTGGCAAAGAATTGGATATAAAATCACAAGGAATAGGCAAAAAGAGAATAGAATCCAATAAATTAGTCTTCATCCTTGATACACTTCATTTGAACTAAATTATTACTACTCTTTATCTCTTTGTTTGGCTAACTTATAGATATATTTTTCTCCCTCCTTAATATCTAATCTATTATATAAATCATTAAAAGCTAAACTCTTTGCATTGCAAATAACTTTCTTAAATTCCTTACAAGCCTCTTTATAGCTTTCTCAATTATCAGAATTTTACATCTAAATCAATTTTTATAATAAATCTTCTTATTTTTTTATTTTTTCTTGCACATTTGGATTTCCCCACCAACTATTTTTACTATTAAGAGATTTTTCCTTCGAAACTCTAAGCACATCTTTTACAATATTCTTAATATCACTAGCCACTTTTTTCCACATAACATTAGCATCCTCATGCACAGACAAAATCTTAAGCTCTAAAATCTTACTCTCAAAAATACTTTTGTTAATATTTTTTAAATGCCCCAATCTAATCCTAGAAAATCGTTTTACTTTATTTTTTTTATTTTCTACCCCTTTATTTTAAAGTTCAAAACTAATAAAAAGCCAATTTCTCCGACTAGTCTTACAAAATCATGCAAATGATTTTGTGAGTGACTTAGGCTTATATTTTCAAGAAGATTTATAAGCTTTCTAATTTTGATACCCTGTAAAATGCACTAATGATAGTAGGCATATTATAGATAAATTGTATGCTCAATCATAGATAATATCAAAACTCAATCACAGGTAATATCAAATCCAAAAGAAATACTTGATTTTTATCAAGCAATCTACAAAATTTCTATTAACCACTTCTATTTGACCATCAATTTATAGATGATTAGCAATTAAACTTATGAATTTCACATCTAAAATTATTGGTTTAGGTAAACCATATAATTTTACCACATAAAGTGCAATTTAACAATGTGAGGTGTAACATTAATTTTGTGGCATTGCATGAAATGTGACATATTTGAGAAGCAATATACCATTACACAAATTGAATCAAGAGCCCACATGTAGATAGTAAACCTAACACAAACTCCATACCAACATCCTCACAAAGCTTATATGGAAATAGCATAGGTGTATGAAGCCATTTATTCAATTTTCTATCTTTGAAAGGCTAACAATTCCTACATTGGGAAATAATTCATGCTAGATCTCTTTCCAAACTTGCATTGCAAGAGTCTTATCTTTCCAAAATATCCAACAACACCTCAACATATTAATCAAAAATCATAAAATCCCACAAAAATGAATCTAGAATACAAATTTAAGTACCCTCAAATGAAAAATCATCTTTAATCATGTAGTCTTCGATAAGCAAAAATAAATCATTATTTAAGTCTTTCTAAATCTCACAAAAATCCACTCTAGTACATATTCCTCCTTATATGATCAAAACCAACCACATTAGCCAGCATTTTATGCAGAATAATAGATACTTTACCCAATACATCATGTTTTTTTTATAAAATCCAACACAATATTTAAATACAAACAAATATTTGGATAGAACCTCAACCCACCTAAGTGTGTATATGGCCCATTCTTTTGAAAATTCAACTATTTTAAAGTTTAATGTATCAAAATATAACACAAATCCCTTAAGTAACAAATACTGGCAAAATTTTTGAAGAGCTTGCACAAAATAATAGAATTCTCTATCATAATTTGAATATTTTTATTTAGTCTCATTCACTTTCTTACTAAAAAAATGCAATGAGAAGCACTTCTTGATTCAACATTCCCCCGATACCTACTTTAAACACATCATAAGAAATCTTAAACACCTTCTTAAACTCAAGCAATTTAAGTGCAAACGCCTTGATACATCGCTATTTGATTTCAATAAAAGCATGGTCAATATATTTAGGTTTTGATTGGGACCGCTTTCTTACTGCTTTCTAAAGCAGCTTTCTAGTACAAAAATTTTTAGAACTAGAAATTTTTATATTAAAATTTGTTTTAAAAAGTAGTAAGAAAGTCATCTCAAACAAAACAGCAAGTCCATTTAAATCCACATTCATTCATATAATTTGCAATCAAAATAATAATAATATTAAACTCATTATTGAATCATCTATTAAAAATAATTAAATAATAAAAACTTCTGAATAACATGTATCTCAAAAGGTTATGGCCAATCATTAATTATACTAACCTTATCAGAATAAAAAAATGATCCATCCCCATACACAAAATTACCTAAACGATCATAGATGCAGTCACAAAATGCATTTAATATCCACATAGAACTTTTTAAATCAACAACCGTATGATCATGATCCTCAGTAGAGCATCAAAGTGTTGATAATCTAATGAATATGATATTTCAAATTCAGTTTACATAACAACAATAATCAAAAAAATTATCAACACTCTCCTCTATTCACCAGAATTTAAGCAAATCGTACCAAATGAAGGTCATCTTGTAGTTTATATGATCAAATGGATTTTCATCCTTCGCCATCCTGATTTCTTTATCTTCTCTTATGTATTTTCCTTGTACTACAGAAGTTCTAAGTAATTTCACTTATTGTATTCATATCATTTTCATCAAAAATGATTATATCATGTTTTGCTATAAATTAAAATATTATGAAAGTAAACAATAAAAAATATTCCAATGAAGGTTGTAAGATATGATTCATTATTCTCACGAAATTACTAGGTGAATTGGTTTATTTATTTAAGAGAGATCACCAAGTACTCATATAATCCATCATCAACTTCAGAAGTAGTCTTACATGCATCATCATCCCTTATTCTAACTGGATAATATCCACTCTTCAAATTACTTTTAGAAAATATAACAACACAATTTATCATATCCAATACATCATCCAAATGGCGTATAAGAAACAAATTTTTTCATGGTGATTTAGTTAATGGCTCTACAATGATAGTAGTACTATCTACAAACATCATCCTAGTACCATTTTTCTTAGATTTAAATAAAATAGATACAACATAAGGACTCATACTTTCTCTAATAGATCCCCTCCTAAGTAATTCATCAACTTGTATCTTAAGTAAAGCGAGCTGAGAGAAAATTTGGAAAAAAAATTTTGAAACACAAACTTTATTCAATACAAAACTAATTCTCTATAAAATAAATTGCAAAACTAAGTTCCACAAATAAAGGAAAACAAAATAACAAAATAAAGTGATTAAATTTTCTAAGGACAATATTAATTTTTAGGAATAGATAATATCACTCAAATCTAGGAAAGAAATTTTTAGGAATAATATTCATGCCATACATTTGTTTTTCAAAACAATTCCAAAATAATCCCCAAACTATTCGTGTATGGCCAATTTAGTCCCAGTGTATCATATTGCCCCAATTTAGTCCCTTGACTATACAAAATTGATCCAAAATAATCCCTCATATTATATTTGTGATATAAAATTGATCCTAATTTAATCTCTCGACTTTACAAAATTAATCCTAATATAGTGCCAAAGGTATCAATTTGGATCAATTTTATAAAGTCAAGGGATTAAATTAGAGCAACATAATACTCTAGGACTAAAATGACCATATATGATTAGTCGAGGGACTATTTTGAAATTTAACTCATTTGCTTTTTAATGGGCCCAAACTTAAGGGTTGTTATAATTGATTTTTTTCATCTAAAATTCATCTTATCAACAACCGATATATCAAGTCATATGCTCAAATCAAAAGAGTGTAGGTCAGCTATAGCTCCTCAGATTGACTGGTTCATCTTTGAATGAAAGAGATCTTGGAGATCTTTCAAAGCATGCTAGAGATCCTTTAGATCAAACATGTGAAGGAAAAACCATCACCGCTCCCCCACTTCTCTAGCTTTATGTACTCTCAAATATTTCTATGAGACATCAATCAATCATTATTTAAATTGGGAACAAAACTATCACATTTCAACAAGTAAACATCTTCAATGCACATTTATACTAGAAAAAAATAAGTGAACAAGAAGCAAGATACAGCATACATACCAAAACTCACATGCCTCAAGAGAAACTTCGTCATCAGAGTCATTATTAGCTAACAACATGTATTCAATCACATTCCTCAAATGCGGCTGCACAAGAAATTAAAATCTTACTTCTGGAAATACTATTTTACTAGTAAAAAGAGAACTGTTTAAAGCAAATCTGGATATGTAATGGCAGATTAAATCTCCAAAATAGCAAAGAAGGAACAGAATTTCCAGGACGACACTCGAAGGCTGTATGTAGCACAGTAATTATTCAAAATTAAAGAAAAATGAATCTGGCTGTAAAGTGATAAATATTTTACCAACCTCCAAAAATGTAGGTCGAACTTCGATTAGCTGAACAAATGCAGAACAAACCTACACATGATATTACAAAAATGAAATAAACACAAGTAAAAAACAATAAGGCTCATCTAATAATATAGTCCGTAATAAATAGCTTCTATTAACAAAAAAGTAATGAACAAAATAGAATAGCGCAATGAATCAGACTCTAGACTGTTAATGGTTTTTTTCCTGTTTTATACAGAGATTCAGTTTCATAAAATGTTGGTACAACTCAAACCTTAAATAAGCCGTCATAAATTGGACAAAGCCATATGATTAAGCGATTATGTACAAACAGATGTTCATTAACCAATAAACTCTTAAAATAGTGAGAGGAAAAGGTTTAAATATATTAACCACAAAGATCATTCAAGTGGATCTTCACAACAGAAGTTTCTCAAACATAAAAACTGTTCGGATAAAAACAAGAACTTTTTCTTTGGACATTTGAGCCATTAAGGAAAACTCACACAAACATCTCATATGCAAGCTTCGAACCCAAGACCTCTTGATTTGTAGTCAAAGCTCCCAACCAACAGACCAAGATGAAATGTATATAAATAATGATAAAGAATATTGCAAGAAACATAACATATATAGATTACCTACATTATTTTGCATCCAAGCTCTAGTAATTTTCTTTTTTGTTATGGAAAAAAAAAGAGAAAAGAGAAACTAGTCTTCAGATATAAAAAGACCCATCGTGAAAACAATGAATCCAACCACACGTCTTGAAAGAACTTACTGAGTTACTAGCTCTAAAGTTAGTTCAGTTGTAAAATAGTACTATGAAAATTTAAAATTTAGTGACTATTCAGTTGAAACTTCCAAATATGAGCATATGAAACCTTGGCCTTCTTAACATAAAATTATCTGAAATTCAAAAACAATTTCTTTCTTTTCTGCTTGACAGATAACAGATTCTCCAATTAATTAAAATCATTATTGCATACTTGATGGAACAGTGCAAGGTGGCAAATTAAGTGATGTGAAACCAGGAATTGAATTTAGAAACTTAATAAAATATTGTTCAAGTGATGAAATTGCAAGCTTAATTTTGTTCTCAATTGAAACTTTTCGGAGATCTTAGAATTCAACTATGGTTAGGCAAGAGCTTACACCTAAATTAGCAAGACCAATAAAATAACAACGATAATAAAAGTAAAGCAAATGAAAAAACCAACTAGAATCCCGCGGTTAACAAAGCGATTGTCTCACCTTGAGGCTGCTCTCATTTACCTACTTCTAGGCTTGTTGGGAGAAGAAGAACCACACAAATGATGAAACCACTCCTAGGGCGATGGCGTCGTAGATTCGTAGGGAAGGAGAGGTCGGCGCGGGTCGTGGAGGTGGTGCGAAGCGACGCCCTTCAACGATCCACGTGTAGACAGAAAAATGATCGTCGATGGACTCCACTAGAGCCGGTAGGATCCGGTCCAAATAGTCCTCGACGGTGTCGTCGAAGTCGAATCCAACGTCGAAGAAGGGAGATCGGAGGATGTTCACTCGTCCGCGGTCGTCGTACTCAAACCCGAAATTCCACTCGAGAACCTCCATGCATCCTTGAAGGGGTGAAAGGGTGGTCGCCGCAAATAAATCTCGAAGGAGGAGGGATGGTGGGCGGCGGGTTGTAGAAGGGGGAGGAGGCCGGCGGTGGATGTGGGGTGAGGAGAGATGGGTGCATGAAACAAAGTAAAAACTGAGAGAAATTTCAGTTTAGGAGAATTTTGGAGGGAAAATTTGAATTCCCATGAGAGAGCAATTAATTCCTTAATGAGGAATTAATGGGGAAGAGAGAGAGAAGGCCGGCGGTGGAATAAGGAGAGGGGAGAGGGATCAAACTGAAATTATTTTAGTTTTAATACAAATAGGATGGAAAATTAATGGGTCCTAATTTGAATTTCAAATTAGGATCAAGGGAGTTAATGGAGTAATTAAATGCACTCCACCAAGGGGGTGGCCGGCGGCATGCATAGGGAGAGAGGGAGGGATTTGGGGGAGAGGGGGAAGGGATTTAATACTTGATTTGATGACGTGGCAAGGGGTTTAAAACTCCAAATTAAATTGATTTGAAATTTATTTACTCATGAAAACTTTTCATATTTGGATTTCCAAATTAGGAAACAATTCAAAATTCGAAATTTCAAATCCCTAATTTGAGGTTGAGGGAAACTATGAGATAAGCCGCATGGGAGGAGGTCGTCGGCGAGGTGGTGGCCGGCGGTGGGAAGCTTGGCCGGCGGTGGGGAGAACCCTAGGGGGCCGGCGGCAAGAGCAAAGGAGAAAGGAATTTTGAAGAGCTCTCTAGTAGGAAGAAAATTACGAAAAGCAATTAAAAGAAAAGATAATTAGAGAACTCACTAAGAGATCCCAATGGAAGAACTCACTAAGGGGTTGTTTGGTTGCCTGCAAAGTAAATGCAATGTAAAGTAAATGCAGTGTAAAGCAAATGCAGTGCATTTCAAATACTTTGAGGCTGTTTGGATGTATGCAAAGTAAACACAGGAGAAATGTTTCCCTTGTTTGGTTAGATATATCCAGAGTAAAGTAAAACTGTGCATTTGTAATATTTTTTTTGTCATTATAACTAGTGTATTTATAAAAGTAATCACCGATTGTTTAAACTTTGTTTGGGATAGCTTTCTTCTTGCTTTCTAAAACAGCTTTTTAGTACAAATTAATGCTATAAACTTTGTAACATCGAATATTATCATCTTTAGCTTTAAATTTGAGTCAAGCTCATTTTTTTGTAATTTTACATCAAATAATTATGATTTAACTTGTTGATAATGTTTTTCCTAATATATAGAGAGCAAATATGTTTCAATATATAGCTCAAAATGTCAATCATGTTTGACTTGATTGGAAATCAGCTGATATTAAAAGTTCTGTGATGTGCAAAATTTCAACTAAAAAAACAGTTTTGATTGCTAGTAATATTTGTTATAATGCTAGAGAAAACCAGATATTGATAGCTGTTTACAGCTTTCAGGGAACAATCCTAGAAAGAGTTTTCCTGCGAACAACGAACAAGAGGAAAAAATCAGGTTATAGAAGGCTTATATTATGAGAAGCAACACTTGAGATACCTTTGTTTAATTAATATAATCAGTAAGGAACTTCCAGAAAAAATCTTAAAACATTTCCATATCCATTATATCCTTTATATTGGATAATAGCATATGGCAAGCAAATGCCGATGAAGCTGAAGCTTTCACTTCTCATCAATGATTTTCCAATCCATTACATTATAAATGAAACCCATATCAATCTTTTTCTCTATAACAAGTATATTTAAAACATGAGCTAAGGGATTAATTATCATAATAGCATGCTTTGAGTATGATTTACACAGCTAATACTATATTTTTTATAAATAATTACATGCATGCCTCTCGTAAAGTTTAAAAAATGCTATGGAAGCAATGCAACAGGAAAGGAACCAGAGACAAGAAACGAAAGAAACAGAGAGTTCAGTTTCTATATGTATACCTCTCCTTTTCTCCTGGAATAATATATTTCTAAAAGCAGAAAAACAGGAAATGGGGAATATGCTATGCTATAGTCCTTTAATTTGTGACACCAACGAATGTATTACTATTGTCAGCAGAAAGATGAGGATGCATGACTGAAAAGTATGTATGGACCCAGCCTCAAGCTTAGAGGAAGCAGGGCTAAATCTTGGAGGACCAAAATGCCTAACTGGACGACTAACAGAATTTTTCTTAGACACAGTTGGCAAGGCTGCTGGGGTCCTCACAGGTAAGCCAGTAGTAATTCCACCAGGTGGAACTATAGAATCAAGAGGAGATGGTATAATGGTATCTGAAACATTCACTTGATTAGACAACAAACCACAGGTGCTGAGAATAGCAGGGGGGGGGAAATGTAGTAGGATTAAAAGTGCTCAAGCCTCCCTGAAACATCAAACCATTCCCAATGTTCATATTCTTGAATCTATCGGATAACATGGCCTCTTTCTCTATAAGCCATTTTGATGTATTGATATCCACATCAAGAAAGCAGAATAGCAGGAGAAAGAAGTAAAGGTAAGCAGATGGCTTTCCCTCATTCAATTCAGCCTGGAGAACGATACCTCCCACCCATATATAATCGTAGAGAGGAAACCAAATCATTACATGTGCAGCAATTGTAATAAGCAAGAAAGCAATAACCTCCTTGAGAAGAAAACCTGTTTCTTCTCTAGGACAAAGACATCGATATTGTAAATAAATTTTTAATTAATGTTGTTATAAGATAATGATAGCAATCAGCTGTAAGTGAACCAACCCAATCAAAACCACAAAATAAAGTACTCAATATGTTCTCGTAGGCTTAACAAAAAAAAAGTTTATAGTTATAACAAATTTAATGCGTTATGCAAATCTTCAACAACTTCAATCAGTTTCCTAACTCTTTACGCATCCATCTAGCCTTCGAATCTGTAGGTTTTGAAAGGAAAGATGGTATCAGCTTGGGATGTTTTGATAAATTATCATATATCAAATCAACCTCTTCTTCTGAGAAGCCAGGAATATTTGTTAATTCAAACATCAGTTCAGTATACATATTCCGAACTTGAGTTGGAGATGTTACGGAGCTCTTAATTGCGTTAGCAACTTCGTTCACACTATCAGCCATCAAAGAAATATACTCACGAATATTTTGATCGATAGCTGATGCCTTAGACTTCTTTTTAACCACACCTCCTATAGCAGATGAATGTATTGGTTTCTTTTTTGTTCCAGTAGAATCTTCTATAACGTGCATATCAGAGCACTCATTAGGCATTGATTCATCTCCAGCAACATCTGTAAATGGTGAGGGTTCATCATCGCTTAAATGTATTTGTTGAGTTCCAAGAGGAGATTGAGAATTTCCAGATTTCGCCCACTCTCCTGTTGCATGTCCAACACCACATACTATCTCCAACTCTACATAATTTGCAATTGCAATATTTAAATAAGCAGCATCCTTGGGAAAAGCCTGTAAGGAATACAAAAAAGGTTGTTACCCCCAACATATAAATT